AACATCCTCTATGCTATAAACATTCTGTTAAATGTTCTGTTTAGTAGAGTTAAGTTACAGCTAGTTCTGGTCTTAAGAACACAAACTCCATCCTTATGCAACTGAAAAATATGTTCTCAGAAATCCACTGATAAATTTAGACTCTCTTTTCAGCCTAAGAAACATAAGGGCAAGGGGTAAATAAACTTCCAAAGCTCACTAAAGCTCAGAAAAAAAAAAAATAAAATACTGATAACTTTTCTGGAATACAATTGCAGTTTTTTGGATTTTTTTTCCTTTCACAATCACATGCAAATTTGATATCGTATCATACCAGACATAAGCTCAAACACCACAAAGCAAAACAAGTTTCTATCTCCAATATCTAACATTGTCAGATCGCTTCATCCTGAAATGTCTCTTTTCTAAAACGGGGTGCAACTTTGGAGTCAGACGGCGTTACTGAAACTAAAAATACATAAAGATCGCAATGGGAGAGAAAGGATGAATCATTTTCTGGCTTTAAGTGCTTACAGGGAACTTGCCATCAATTGGAAAGTAATTTTCTCTTTGAAAATGTTATGAAGAGAGAATTAAAGAGAGCTGCTAATATAATCGAGCAAAAGAAAACAATATATATTTTAAAAGGGGTTTTAACCATATTTATTATGACCTTTTAATTGGATTTTATGTTTATCTTTCCATCATTTATACAAAAAAGGTTTAAAAATGAATAGAAACTATATAGATTTTAAAAGCATGCAGATAAGAAGTTTTATCCTCTGGTTTATTTCCAAACATTTGCTGCCGTCTTTGAACACATAGCAGAAGGTTTAAGACGAACACCTTGGAGCCAAAACCTTAAAATGACGGAGATGAAACCATTACATCCTTCCTTGCTCTGCAGCTGACGCATCTGTTTACGGATCCCTGTGCACCAGCTGTGAACACATGACCAGGTGAATCAGCCTTCCTGCGCCGCCGTTCCACAGGCTGTTTTTGACAGGAACACATAAATATTCATGACAAATACTCAAAGGGAGCTGAGAGTTAACTGATGGCACATTGGTTGGCTGGAGGTGTGACAGGAAAAAAAAAGTAAAGAGATCC